CGCAAGGGCGAAGCGCAAGACGATTTTCGAGATAGGGGCTGCAACCTTAATAAAGAACAACCCCCACATGGGGTGCCACTTGCAGCTCCTACTGCCCCAGACTCACGAACGAGCGCTACGATCACAGAATTGGTAGTTTTTGAGCAGGCATTAGACAAAAATGAGTCATCCTCCGGTTGCATGCAACGTACTGCAATAGTGCCTGAAGAAGCTCGCCACGCATATCCCAGTATACCTCATTTCCGAGCTATATATGATATGGGTGTAACGTCAAGCTTGGTCTGTGCTGCAACCGACCACCTGAGCGGAGAGGTTGATGATAAAACCTAGGAAGGTTTCACTGGCTCGCACGATACAGTATTGCAAGCGATCTTGGATTTCAGATTGGAAGTGGGGTTGCATAGCATGCACGCATGAAACTGGCGTGAGTAGCTCAATCTAGCTACAATCAGTGAAGGTCTTATTATTCTGACCTACGTAGATGCAGATGCGAGACTGTTGGCTTGAACGGATGGAAGCACTGTCAGATGTGTCAGCAAGGCTGCCAGAGCTGGTGGAAGTTGTTCCAACACCGGCACAGCCGCTCAGAGTCTTAAATCTGAAAAACTGGGTTAGCTTCGCGCAGAACTGCCCTGCATGCCTTCGAAATCACGTCAATACTGCTAGCCCCAACAATCATGTAAACGAATTCAAGCGTCCACCTGTTATGCATGTATTTGGAGAGCCGGGGCAATGCAGGCAGCTTCTGTCAGATGATTTGTTGATCTTTTGGAACTGTTTGCTTTGTCGTCCTTCAGACTAAAGTGACAAACAGTTCAGGTCATGTGCTTGGATGCGCGTTTGACTGTAATTGTTGATGTTGCCTGCGCTGGACATGCCATGATCTTGACCTCGAGTAGCACGCACCTGGGTTCATGTACCATATGAATACCCAAGTTGTCTCCACACCACTCTACCAGCAGCAAGCGCAAAGTTGACAAGGATCTTGTCAAAGTGCATCCGAGTCGACACCTGACATCAGGTCTGTTCGCAGAACATCCTCCTAGCCATGGCAGCCTTTGCAGGCATCGGTCAGGCCAGCTGTCTTGAGTGGTGGCGAGCACGCGATACTGCCAGCTACGTCAATGCTTCAAGATCTAGTTGGGGATATATGAATATTTATGATGGGTTTAAGCTTCGCGGTATCCTGATGCACCGAAGAGCTTTAGTTGCACATCAGTTCGGCACATTGCACTGCCACATGTGAACTTGAAACTTGAGCATAGATGCTGTTCTGACGGCTCAGTGAAAGCCTCGAACTCTACCTCTAAGGCCCTTTTGCCCCGTGAAAGAAAATTGCCAAACACAAGATTTTTGGAGGGACCACCTGAAGCATTCACGCCCCGATCGCGCCCTTAAGTATCAGTACAATAGTTTATTGGATTGCTTTTCCAGCCCTCCAAGCAAGGTCGGGGCAATTGTCCATGACAAATGTCTGCCTCTCCGAAAATGCTGCGAGTACGATCGTGACGACGAAGATTTCGCCCCCCCGCAGCACAAAGCATCCCGCTGCGCAGACCGAACAGCGGGGAAGATTGACTCTGCATGCACCGGGATTTTGATACATGCTTCTGTACTCTGAGGTCTGCGCCTGCGGAGCAACGGACATGGTTGGGAGAAACAACATATCTGCAATCTGTTTAAGCTTTCTGATGGTGAGGGCGCAGGGTGTGGAGTCGTGCTGGGTGTCAGACAGCGCGTGAGCTGACAAGTGTGGGCTGGGCATCGTGGAGAGTTGAGGGCTGGTGAGCGCAAGCAGGCCTTGGACCCGCAGGCAGGCGTTTGCTACCGTAGACGGTGCCGCCGCACCTTGGCCAAGAAAAGGCGGAGTACGACGATTCATATCATTCCTTCGACTATGATTCTGATCATGACCACTCTTATTGTGATGATTCTTATTAACGGTACTACTACTACTACTACTACTACTACTACTACTACTATCTCACGGAGGATTCATGTTTGGTGCTGGTGCCAGCGGTCTGTCAGCACAAACCTTCCAGCGTCGAGGAATCACCCAGAATTGCAGGAGCGGCAGAAAGTTTGGGCCGACAACAGGGAGATCCAAGGAGAGTGCGGGAGGTATACAGGTCTTCGCCTCAGCGCCTGTGGGTCCGGTCCATGTGGCCTAATTTCTTCGAGTGTGCAATGAAGCTGCTTGTTACGTATTCAAGTCAGATCGCCGGAAGGTTGCAGGATCTTACTCACAATCACATATATGGGTAGTTCTGTAAAGCAGGGTTCCTTTTCAGGTCACCAAAATAGTACAGCACGCAGAAAAACAGGGCCCTTAAGGGAACCCTAATCTGCAGAATTACCCACTTTCGAGCTAGTCAGAGTTGCCATCACAGTCTGCAATACAGAGCTTGGGAAACCTCAGTCCATGCACCAGGCTCGCCGAACAGTTTAAATGCAATACAGGAAGCTTGCATCCCGTGGAAACAAGAAGCCTGGCAAAAATCCAGATCTGCTTACAGATTCCTACATGCGATCTTGCTGCTCCAAAACCTGGATCGATTGAAGTCAGTAACGACCAATAACTAAAGTAGTATCGCCCTGATAGATGTCCCCGACGTGGGATCCCTTGTTTCACGGGTAGAACCATACCAAAACCTGGAACGCAGTCCACCTTCTTCTCCGTTAGCACCGCATGATGTGAATCTTTCACAAACGATGGTATTATTGAGCTGATATCGCCATGCTTGAACATGTAGTCATTCGAAAAAGCGACTCGTGTCAATACCAAGGTATTTCTTTGAAGAGGGCTTACGGGTAAAGTTGAACCCCGGCGTCCTAACCCGCTCCCCGGGATTATCAGACGCCCCCAGCCGGACCAAAGTGATTCAACGTAGGGTGGAACAATTATTAGTTGGAAGGATTACGATGCAGCCAAATCAGAAGGTTCCATGTCGAAGCTGATTGGCTCTGCAACGGCGCTCCTAGGCTTGAAGATGAAGCTTGATGTTGGCTTTATGACATGACAGAAGAGAGGATAAGGAAGAATCATGGGGGGTCTACTGGGCATCATATCGGGACTACGGTAGGTCCCCGTTCCCATTCCCACAGAAGCATTAGCAAGGAAGCGACGTTCCTACGTAATATTTCTGGTAATGGGTATTCCGATATGCTTCCCATGACTCAGTGTCGCGAGACTTATTCAGCGCAGGACTCACAAGCGTTGGGCCCACAGGTCGGGATTTGAAAATCACCTGAGCGAAAAAGCGCGACCATGACAATCACGAGCATGTTTTGTTGCCTTACTCACGGTTCTCATGGTGGGTATGTATGGTCTGCTGTGTCCGAGCTCAGACCCAGGGGGTGTCACTCCACAAGCCTTGAGGATGTGGATTTCTGTGATAATTGAGGGCGAATCCTACCAAATAAGTTGCGCAGAAAGGTACGTGGCGGAGTCTTTGGAAGCTTGCGATGCCGCTCAAGAACTGCCCGCAGCTTGTGGGAGCATGATTGCATTCATGCTGCTGGGACTCTGTATGGGAAGGTCTCAACTGGTGTTCTCGCAGGATTTCTGTGTGATCATTTGAAGAAAGCATGATTTGGCATCCACCATAGACTGATTAACAAGGATCTGACGGGGGTGGCAAGCCTTCGAATTGGAGGCTTCTATCGTGCAATGACGATGCGATCTTGGTGGTGTTGTTGGAGGGCTGGGATTTCGGGGCTGCAGCTCCGTACAGGGTTGGATTTGGATCTCTTCTAGCTAGTGTCGAAGCTCCTTATACTTTTGCTATACGGACCTCAATCAACAGGGCCCAAGACGGAACCCCAAACGTGCTCATGTATAGAGCTTTCAAGCGTAGCTCACATATGGAGAACGTGTCGGGCTAATCTGACTGGATATTTGAAGCAGCCACTTTGATGCACTCATGCCCCTACAACACAGACAAGGTGTATGTACTCATAGAGCCGCTCGGACCTTCTAGCATTAGTATATCGTCAAATGGTTCGGCGGAGCACGATCTAAAATGCTTGCTGCACTCGCTCATGCTTGAGGCACCGAACGTGCTCGGTAGCACCGCGAAAGGTGAAAGCTCACTGTTACAAATCTAGCTCTTCACCCAGGGTGGCTTCCTTGGGCTACTTCGCTGAGAACGCTGCGCGCAACCATTACGAGTGCCCATTCTACATGCTGCTTCGATCTGATAGGATCCGGAAGCGTCGTACGAGCTGGACGAAGCAATGATAGCCCACCGTATGGCAGCTTTTTGCAATATCCCATGCTTCTTGAAGCACAACAGCATAAGAGAGCATCAAGCCCAGCTGTGTGTCGTTTATTTGCAGGCTTGCCTTTTGCAGGAACAAGTACCGCGCGTAGAATGTCGGAAGATGGATCTTGGGAATGTTGCGTTTTTGGCCAAGGTTCGATAACCTCTACCAGTGTGGCCAGGATCAGTCGAAAATCGGGGAAGCAATCGAGCGTTTTGCGGCTGCTACAGCTGCCGCTGTTCCTCGCCTAAGCGTAAGTGGGTCAGCTGGTCTATGTGAGGTCATGGTGACTATTGGTATGTGAGCAACTGCAACTCTCAAATTGTCATGTGTAGCCCGGAATCTTACACAGATAATCCCGTGCCTTTCCTTGGCAGAACGTTTTGCTGCAAATCGCTGCAACGCAGGGTGTAGGGACCCAGAGACCCATCCGCCCAGTCTTCTTGCCGTTCAGACTGCGCCAGAAACATGGAAAGCATAATGCAATCATACGGTCCTAAATCATGAAAGCATGATGACTGATGGACGGATGTCTATCCTGCGCAGCCTCCGCGCGTTTCATGTCCCTGTACTGGAGGTCATCAACTGTGGAGCAATTGCCGGGACCCAGAGGGCCTACACGCGCCTGGCACCTTGGCCCAGAAAACATGCCATCTCGTCAAACTGATGAACCAATGCCAAGTGAAACCTGTGACTGTTCCGGACCCAGGACTAGATCCTCAGGAAGCAACGGACATTTCATACTTGCAGCGGGCATCTCAAGGCCTTCTGGCAAAGCAACAACAAGAAAGGCTGAAGCTGCACCCGTCCATGAAAATTAAGCGCAGTGGCCATTCAAGTAAGCGTCGCGGTGCGTTATTGAATTTGGATTGTCTTAGCACGCCGGGCAGTGCAAGTTGGACAAATCTCAGGTCAGCATGGTGCATCCGCCACGCCGTTTTTTCATGGTGTAATGCGCAAAGTCAAGGGCAGTGGCAACCGCATGGCCGGACGCCCCAGGATGCAGATGTATAAGTTTTTGAAAAGTAAATGTTCTGGAAAAGATTGCATGATGCATGTGCATCCGACTTCTGTGAACAAGACTGTCGAAGATGGCCTTTGACGATTCGCGCTCCGCGCCTGGGGCTGCGTTGATCACCAACAGGTTTCAGGTTGGTCGCCTAGGTCGGTGCTTTGATCCTGTTGCAAGCAGAGGGACCTTTCAAGACGACCCAAGCATAGAAAAGCCTGAAATGTGTCTCCCTCCCATTAGGTCGTTCCCAAGAAATCATATTGTGATGATTTGGGGTTTCTCCGAATGAAGACGCGACCAACCCAGTTTTTCTACAGTTCGCGTTGCGGAAGCTGATCAGATTTGGGCCGATATTGAGTTTTTCTCGCTCGACAAGGCCTCATATCCTGATCCATCTGACAAATCGTTGGTTTTTTGTCGTGACACTTGCACATATGACAAAACACCTGCCAGGGCTGCTTGCTTTTACTCACAGATGCTCATAGTTGCGCTCCTGAATTCTGCGGGCAAAGGTCGGCTGCGTTGACTTTCATTAAACAGGCTGATTTAGACAGTAAGTCTTCTCTCAGCCATGCCTCCTGCTCAGAACGCAGGGTTAAGCATATTGTCCTGTAGAAGTTCGGGGTTCGTCTTTTGTGCCCATGGAACAAGCTTGTTGCAAGGTTGATTTGGAGCTTCCAGAAGGCATCAACCTTGTGCATAAGCACAAGAAGGACAAGAGAAGGGCGTATGAATTACAGAAGCAATCCGGGTAATCTGCCCTGGAAACACACCAAGTCTTCTTTGAGAGGCCTGGTCAGGGGATCAGTTGTTGCTCCAGGTGCTCGGAGTGGGTCGCAGCCGCTCTTCGATGAGCAG